AGGTGTATTCCCTGCACCGGAGCGCTGTGCTAACGAAGGCAGAGCTGATGATCTCCGGAGCCGCTCTCCTTTCTGCTGAGCACACACACAACACGTCCCGCTTCTGTTTGAGCCGATTACGGTGCTCAGGTCCATCCATGGAGCAGAGTTTTACCCTGCGGTTGCTCCTAAAAGCTGGGATAATTTGAGCTGTGTGTCCCTGCCTGAAGACGTTTGCACTCTGAAAAGGCAAATGGGACTAAAGGGTGGGGAGGAGAAGCAAAGGGGGTTTGCGGTTTGGGGAGGAAACCTCAGTTTCTGGCAGATAACCTGCGCTCCGTCTAGACCAGGCATCCTTACCCTCATTAATTTTTGCTGGGTTTCGTTCGTTAGCTTTATCTATGGCTTAGCGGCGCTGCCTTATGAGTTACACTTGTGGCTTCTGATTACTGCAGAGACTAATTTGGTGCTCTGCGAGGGACCCAGTGTAATTCCTGTTTGAGCTTTAGTTTTTGACTTATATGAAAGGTCACTTCGCTGATCCTAAGCACTTAAGTACTGCGAGCTTTATCCCCCAGCAGCACGGGAGTGCAACGGGAGTAATAGTTTGGGCCTTTCTCATCTCCCCTGGGGTTTCGAGGCTTGCAGAGTCGTGTTTCCTCACTTTGCTCTCTCCGGAGACAAAACCTAAATTCCCACTGATGTTAATTGGGTGGTTTTACCGAGGTGGTCGTTGTTTGCAGCACTTCCTGCCTGGGGTTTGTGTGCATTGAAGGCACAGGGAGGATGGAGAGAAGAGGAGCCCTACGTGTTGGATGCAGCTGAAGCTCAGGGATGGTTACAGGGATGCAACCACAAATCATTTGATGTTAAGGCTTCCATAAAATAACCTCTCAACTATGCCTAGCTGTTTGATGTTACTGGCTTGTTCTGTCTGCTTTTTCCCCCCTAACTGGTGCTTGCTGTCTCCAGTACTGATGCAGCACATTCAAGTTCAGCACCAAGAGGCCAATTTTCACTGAAAGAGGCCCAGTGATGATTCCTCCATCCACCCACATTCAAAGATCCAGTTTCCAGCAGCTCCCCCTTGCACAAAGCCCATTTCTAACTGAATCACCGACAATCTGAGGGATCAGCTCACACCGCTGTGGTCCCAAAAGGCTCTTGCTGCCATCCTTCACTGCAGCCACCTCTCGCTGGGCCCTCCTGACGTGTGTGAACCAGAGCCTGCGCCGCTGTTAATGCTCCGTGCCCGCGACATTTTGTGGTTGCTACTAAAAATAAAGAGAGTGAAATTAATTTGCTAATACTGGATGTGCTGCGAACAGAAACACATCTTGCGTGTACCTAACACCAGCGGGTTGTTTATGGCATGTTTGCAGTGTCTAAAAATACTATTTATTTTTTTCCTAGCACCTAATTTCAGTTAAAGACTTATTTTTTTACACATCAGTGGCTGTTAATCAGTTAAGGAGTTATCAGTTTTAATATCAGGAAGAAAGAAGCGGATCTCATCAACGCCTTAAAACATTATTTCATTTCTTTTCAGCTGGCATGCAGCAGATTATGGGGAGTCTTAGGCTCATCTTATTTCTCCTCCGTTTCCCACCCCTTTGAAAAGAGAGACGGTACCATTAACTGTACTGGGCTATGTAGCCTTTCAAGAGCTGTTGAATTAGAAATACAGAGATAAAAATATTAGAGGACTAAAATAAGATTTAATTAGAAATTAAACCCCAGACAGCCATGTAATTTTAAATAAAGTCATGTATACTTCATGAGGAGATTTTTAAGGTTGTCTGTAAGAAGAGGAAGGGTAAGTTAAAGACCAGAAGCCAAGGTAGGTGCAGGTAAGGGGCTGTTTGTGGCCCTGTTCTGCTCTGAATCCATGGGGATTGATGCGGTACCAGCCCCTGCTTTTGGCTGTGGAGCTCAGCCGAGGCTGTGCCCATCCAATGAGCATGGTACCCGCGCTGCAGTGGGGAGGTGTTGGCTGTTCCTGGGTCAGCTTTCATCTTCAGCATCCATTTCATCACAGCATCCCTGTTTATCAGAGGTCTGCACGCCACCGATCGCTGTGGCATTTCTTGCATTTATTTTTACTTTCTGTCCTCCTTGTTTTTTTGCACAGCCCATCTCCTGTCCCTGATTTCCTCCTTTCTAGCCGACACAAGAGGGTTTCGCTTGGATATGACAGCACGCTGCTCTGCTGGCTATTCGTTAAGAGGACTCATGTTGAAATTTAATGTTATCGAACGTTCCTCCTTACACCATGTGGGCAGAGGAGGGACCTGCCTGACCCGTGGGAGCCTTCAGATTATACAAAAACTGGTCCAGTTCGGTTTCACTTCACGTCCCTCATTAAAACCTGGGTTATTGGCATTGTACAGCTGTTGGCTCTGTACTTCCTCAGGAAAACAAAACATTCCCTTTGAGCTGAGCTACGTGTGGTACCGGCGTTAACAAACTGCGCCTCGTTGGGAATCTGTCAAGGAAAAGTGACTTCTTCTGCATTTGCTGCTTTGCACAAGACAGCAGCACAGTAAACTCTTGCGGCGTAATGATTTTCTGTCTGTCTTGATGGGGCATAATGAGATAAATTCAAGTCCTTTTTTGAAGGCTAATTATATTGAGTACACACTAGACGTGGGCTGCCCTCGTTATACGTTGCGCATTTTTGTGCTTTCATTTCCCATCTTTTTTGTCTGCGTGCGCGAGCGAGCTTGATTTGGCTTTGAAATACAAATTGTGGAGTAGAGAGGAGCCGTTTGGTGGTCCCATCTCCCAGAAGACTCTCCAGTGATGGTATCGCAAGTCCTTGCTGTAGGTAGGGCAGCATTTGAAGGTGGCTGTGAAGTAAGTAAGGAACAGAGCTCTGTATTAAAACTAAACTAGATCACATAAAGCACAAGGGCAGCTCTTGGTAAGGCCATGAACAGCCATCGAGAATAATTCAGCCTGAGGTGTGCTCACCGATCCCGGTGGATGGACAAAAAACAAATGGACTGCGTCCCACGGAGCTCACAGCCTGGATATGGTTGGACTGTGGGCAATTTTAGAAATTGGGGTTTAAAACCCTGTAAATTCCTCCAGTCCTACTGGTTGTCCTCTGCCTGTCTTGTGGGAAGATGCCCAGTTTGGGGAGGTCAGCGTAGATGCTGAAGGTGGAGCATCCTCTAGAGCAGGATGGAGAGGCCGCAGATGGGCGATGGAGACCTCCCATGGTGGGCTGGGAAAATGCTTCAGGGCTGCTTGGCGCTTGCTGTGAGAGGTTGGTGGGCTGGGCAAGGCTGGAGGCGGGGCCTGGGGAGTGCTTTTGGATCACAACCATTTGATGCATCAGTGGTTTTCTTTGGCAAAAACTTTCTGGTTGGTTCTAGGAGACAGAAGTTGATCACAGAATCACAGAATATGAGGAGCTGGAAGGGACCTCAAAAGCTCCCCCAGTCCAACCCCTGCCAGAGCAGGATCACCAGAGCAGTCACACAGGAACACGGTCAGGCGCTTTTTGAATGTCTGCAGAGAAGGAGACTCCACAACCTCTCTGGGCAGCCTGGGCCATGCTCTGGCACCCTCACAGTAAAGAAGTTTGTCCTCATGTTTCCTCATGATCTCACCTTTGCTGAAGGTAGAGACGTGGAAGAGAAAACTTGTGGAGCGAGTTTCTCTGCTACTGCAGGAAGCAGAGCCAGCTTTAGAGGCAGTTGTCTGCTCCTTCAGAGGAGAAGGAATCAATACTTCAAGTCCACACTTTGTCTATGGTGAAGGTGAATCCTGTCGTCACATCTTCACCACATCCTCTGGCTGAATTTTAGCACGGGACCTTCGTGGTGTGATTGTCTGGTGCATTCCAGGTGGGGTTGTATTAAAGCTGTTGGTGCAAGCTCATTTTCTGTGTGGGCTAATTAAAACTGGGTTATTCTGAATGCAGATGGGAAAGCTCTGGGATTTCCACCAGAAATAGTAGCTCCTGTAACCCTGGTAGCAGACCTGCACATCACTGGTGTCGTACTGGGCAGAAAAAGCAGCAGCACTTTGGAGCTGGTTTAACACATCTGCATGTCTCTGCTTTTTGAGACAGCAAATAGGGTTCTCTGCAGGTTTTATCTGTGTTTTGGTTTTCTAATGGTGGATTTGTGATTCTCCAGATGTTGGTGTGATTGCAGGGCTCTATTTTTGAAGCCAAGGCAGTCATATACAAACCCACGGCTGCCACTCTGCACGCAGGTGAAAGTGCAGATGCTTTGCTTCGGTGAAAAAGCACTTCCAGGAGGCTGGGAACAAGATGTTGCTGTATTTACTGCAAATTATATATATAACAGAAATAAAATCCCAGGCTACCTTCAGCCAATACGTTATATTTGCGAGAACACAAGTAGCTGTCGTATGAAGTCTTTGTGCCTTGTCATGCACGTATATCTGAGCTGGGAGGAATATCTCATGGTGAGCTCGTATGGCTGTACCCAGAGCTGTCTGTCTTATGTGGAGCACTTTAAAATTCATCACAGGTTTGCAGGGGAGGAAAACCCATGGGAAGCAGCCTTATCACAGTGTCTTAAAGCTGTCGATCTCCAGATCCCCTCCACCGCCGTGTTACTGTTTGTTTGCCGAGACATTGATTTCTAAATACAGAACATCTTAAACAAAAACCAGGAGGTGTATTTTACCTGGTTTTCTAAGGCTGAATGAAATTAAAAAAACCCTCAAACACAATAATGGTTTCTAAAGCAGAGCCCAAAAGCTGTTACCTCTAATGCATTCAACAAGGAAAATAAATACCCAGCAAAGGCAGATGCTAGGGGAAGAAAAATAACCAACAGCTTCTCATTCTCTTTGCACACGAATATTCAGGTTTGCGCTGTCTGTTAGTGGGGGAGACTGTTTTACAATATTCAAACCAAATAGCTTGCGAGTGTTTGTCTGTTTTCCAGCTGAAGATATGCTCTTTTTTTTTTTTAAGGAAATGTGAAGACACTAATTTTATCATGGGAGAGCTTAGCCTGTGGTTCTTCTTTTCACAGTATGCAGACCTGGGTTCTTCAAAGCTTCACCCCACAGTCCATCCTGCAGCAAATGCCCCCCTCACAGCTACACGCTTGATGAAGCATCCACCTCTTGCCTGTGTGAAGAGCACTATTTTAGGAAGGAATCAGACCCACCTACCATGGCCTGTACAAGTAAGCACGTGCTTAGAGGGTTGTTTTTCCTCCTTTTGAGCTGTTCCTGTACTGTGACTAGACGTTGTGATCCTGATGAATGTGCTTTGACAGGCTCCGGGCTGGGGTCTGAACTAGTCTTGACACACTTGTGATGTCCCTGGCTTTGTCCACTGTCCCCCCGGTGACACAAGAACAGACTTTTTGAAGCCTTTTGCTTCCAGAACTGGCATTAAACCCAGGAAACCTTTTTATAACAAATGGGTGCTCCATCTCTTGCTGTCTGCTTGTGTGTTCACATGTCCCTGGTAGTGTGGGGCACACACATGGAGGCAATGATGGGTAGCACTTGCCAGCCATAGGCTTGGATAGAGCCTACGTGGTCCTGCTCAGCATCATCTCTTAGCTCGTTTTCGGTAGACAAGCAGGGAGAGAGCCCCACCTTTCCAAGCTGCCCGGAGATGGTTGTTCTTCGTGGCAGCCCCAAAACTCTGCGATGGAAATGGCTTCTCCAAACCTGCAGCAAAAGCGCAGAGCCTGTCTTTTGGTGTAGGGGAACGGTAGTAGAACGAGCAAATTGGGGTATTGGGGAGTCAAAGGTGGAGCTGATGCAATCAGAATTCCTAATTTTGCCATTTTCTTGCCATCTGTCAGCTGCATCTTGAAGGTTTCTCGTTCAGTTTACATTTCCGATACATAGGGCCACAATTTGCATGCCCCCAGCTGGTCCCACCAAGTGTAGCACACACAGAGGCTTTTGCAGGTCTGTCATGCTCTGAATGTGATTTCTGTGGTGCAAAACTGGTTAAAAAGGACCAAAGAGGAGCTGAACCACTGTGGCAGGAGCAGGTAAAGCTCTCAGGAAACTTAAATGATGGAAGAATAAGTAGATTCATGAGCCCATGCATGTTCAGAGCCACTGGGCAATGGCACAGAGGTGACCTCCATCCTGATTCCTCGCATCATGTGGGTGCAGCAGTGGCTTTTTGTGCCTTCATCCCAGTGAATTCAGGTGCCCTCAGGCACTGGGAGCAGGATTGGAGCCCTCAACCTCTGCGGTTGCTTTTTGCCAGCCGAAGGAGCAAGGAGCAGGGAGGGGGCTGTTGGAAGAAGATGAGCTGCAGGGCAAGAGTAGACAGCCTCGGGCAGCGTGGCAGTACCTGGTGCTGTAGGATCAAAGTGGTTGGGGAGGGGTGAGTGCAAGCACTTCTCACGTTATTAAATAGCAATGCCGGTATTCAGAGCGGTAGCGAGGGTGGGTTACAGCCTGAAAATCTTTGATATCAGCGCTTCTTGATGTCCGTTTTGCCCCTTGGCATGACTTAAAAAAACAGAGAGAAATGAGAGATGATGAGGTGCAGCGCGGTGTTGGGAAATGGGAAGGGAGGAGTGCTCTGAGCTCTGAAAACAAACATAAAATCAGCTTTTCTGTGCAGGCACAACCAAAACCAGGGCTGAGACTGAGCTATGCCAGACCACCGCTGTGCACGGTGCCTCCTGCCCTTTTAGGATGGAGGGGTACACATTTAGCCTGTCCAGTTGGTGAATTAGGGACAGGGAGGGAGCTGCCACCCCCGAGGAAAAGTTTTCTGCGTGCCCTGAGCTGAGCGTAGCGCAGGATTTTCAGAGGGGCACAAACAGGTTTGGGGACCAGCTCATGTTAGAAAGAAATGCCATACACGTGCCTGTCACCGCCAGGCTTCTGCTGCAGTTTGGATCCTGAACGTAAAGGCTGTAATTTCCGATTCTGCAAATACCGTGGGGATTGCTTTTTATGTTTGTTCGGGGGTTTAATGCTTCCTCGTTTGGGGTTTTTTGCTTGGTATTTTGGGTTTTTTGCTTGGTGTTTTGGGTTTTTTTAATGTCTTTTAAAATATTTTTTTAAAAGTTTTTTGTTAAGTTGTTTGAGGTTTTAATGTTTGGGTGATTTTGGTTTGGGTTTTTTGTTTTGCAAGCGTACTCTGAGCTAGTTTAAAGTGTGGGCAGTGCTGGTGAAGCTGTATTAGAGTACCCCCTGCTTCTGGAGCGAGACAGAGTCAAGTCATGACCGGCAGGAAAACACGGCAAGTTTTTGTGAATGCTTTCATTATTTACTACAGCAGAAGTTAATAATATTCATAGGATTCCCTCAACTTGAAATCTAGTTAATTTTAGAGAATACATCAACGTCTGTGTTCAGCTCTATACCTGCAAATTCCCCTTGCCAGTCGGTGTAGCTATAAAATCACATTTTCCTAATTTAGAGTGAATGCTTCTCAGTCCCACCATGAGTCTCCCCACCACCACCAACATCGCTAATGAAAATTAACTGCTACACCACTGGCAACCGCTCAGATGACTATGGTGGAGGGGGGGGGAAGGAAAAGACATTTTTATTTAATTTTTTCCAGTTCCTTAGGCATGTTTTATAAGTAATGATTGGTAATTTTGAAATTAATAGTGCTGGGATGCAGTCTGAAATAATTATTGCCCTCAGACAAAAACAAGTTTGGTCCTGATGGACATTTGAGGATTCTCTTAATATTATTATGCATCTTCCAGGAAGTAATTGTGCTTTATTTCTTCTTAACTAAGTAATATCAGCTTCACTTCCTTGCATAACATCTGTTTAAAATGCAGACGTGAAGTTACACTCTTTATTTCCCCCTCCCATCTCTGACAAGTAACCCTATTGCTGTTCAGAGGATACTGGTGAAAGATTTTTAATAGCATGACACATGGGACACACCGAAGGTTTTATAGTATTTAGTGTAATATCCTACTCTCAAAAACTTTACCGTTAACTTATATTTTGAGTGTGTACATACATATATTTGTATCTCAAGGGTAATTTCTCCCTCGGGTTGTGTTTTTAAAATAACGTGTGTCAGCGAGCAGCCATCAAGAAAAATACCGATAGCGTTGTCTTCAGAAAGGATTTGCCTCCGGTCAATAAATCGTGATGCAGAAAGGATGAATCTTTGCTCAACTGCCCGCTTAGGCTATAAAGTGGCAAATTAAAAAAAATATGTATGAAAAAAAGGAAGAAATCGATAAACGAATATCTTTGTCCTTGACAAAGGGAGGTTGGAAATGAAAACCAGACCTCGGCTCCTTTGAGAACGCTGACTTGATAGGTTATGAGGTCCCAGCACCTTCAAAGCACCAGAGTTGATGGTTCTCAGCCTTCAAGAAGAGCAGCCCACTCTTCTGTACAAAGCAAGTGAAAACCTCTGGTGACTTTACCTAAGTCATAATTTATCCCCCGTTAAAGACACATTGCCCAGTAAGTGTTTCCTGTGCCCAAGTTCTTTATTTTTCCTTAAAGTACTGGTAGCAGTAGAAGAGCATTCATCCAATGGAAGGAAAAATAGGGCAGTTCAACCAATAAAAAAAATACCAAATAAATCTAAGGGCAAGATATACAGCTCCACACAGCTCCACACAGCTCCACACAGCTCCACACAGCTCCACACAGCTCCGGTGATGAATTTTGTAGTTTCCAGGGCAGAAAATAGTCCTGATTTGGGCTGTATCGTGGTGCCATAATCTAAATAGCACTAGGTCCCTGTGGTGCAGGTTGTGAGTGGCTTCCTCCCCGTTTGCAGTGATCTGAAGCGATCGCAGAACAAAACAGATCTGCTCTTTCCTAAATAACTTGGTTTTGTCTTCAGCTGCTTCCCACCAAGGAAAAAAAAATGGTATCAGGATTATTTATTTCCCTCTGGCAGCGAGTTTCTTATTGAATCAGAACAGCTTGAGTCGAAATCATGACAGTGTTTTATCATTGTTACCAACTTTATAGACTTCAAAAGGGGAATAGGGAAGGGAAATAGGGGAAAATGCTTCTGGTTTATAAGGTAATTTCATCTTTGTAGTTCTGCCTGTTTTAAATAACGAATCGAGTTTAATTATCACAACAAAATGAGAAGATGACAGCCTAAGACAGGCTGTTAAATTCATATGGATTTTGAGCTGGTGAAGCTCCTCGTCGGGCTCTTTTCAAGGAGCTGCTCATGGCTTTTGACAGCTTCATCCAAAGCGAACGGGAGCGTTTTGCCTTCACTCCCTTGGAAAAGTCCCAGCCTTTGCTCTATAGCTTCTGGGGATGCCGTGACTAAAATCCATACCAGCCCGCTTGGGTTAATTTCCCCTTTCTTCCTCATTCATTAGCATTCCCTGAGTATATAACGCATGGATCTGGTGCGTGAGATTCCTGCTTGTCCTTCCTCATCATCTCCAGAGCGTATCTGCAGCTTTGCCCTTCATCTCCCTGTTAAAACCTTGCAGCACCTTGTGCAAGTCGTCTTCAAGGTGCCTCCGGGTGGGCTTTGCTTGCCCAGCCATGCCCTCTCCCAGCAGGATGAAGGAAAACCGCATTTTGCAGGAGCTCTGGTACCTCTGCAGCAGCTGTTCGCTCTCAGATGCCCTTGCCAGCACCACGCTGGCATCCTGACCAGGATGGCTTGGCAAAATAAGCGAGCGTGTTGTGGCCACCCAACTGTGCTAGGGCTTGGCAGGGGCCAAGGCGGCTGCCGTTGAGTAGCTGGATACAGCCGTGTTTCCAGGGGCCCATGCAGATCCCCATCTGCTTTGGGCTACATTGAGCATCTCACTTAGGTGTGACTTGGATGCCTGTTTGGATCCAACCTGGAGCTTAGCTTTCACTCTTGCCAAATAGCTGATGGGGAAAGGCGGGCGCATACAGGGGGAAGATTTGGCATTGTAATCGAGTACCTAAGTAGTGTGAATACCCCAACATGTGTCTTTTTTTAAGATCCAGGGCTAGCAATATAGGGGCAGTGGGTGAGGAGGGGGAATCTTGCCCCCAGTGGAGCCAACAGCAGCTTGGACAGAGCAAAGTTTTTCAGCTCCCTGTGCCAGAAGAGCGAGGAGAGCACCTGAGGTGATGCTGCAGGGTGGGATGTGCTTCTCCTGCCGGTTTTGAGCCAGCCCCGTGTCACAGCATTCTGGGGAGGTGGCTGCATCCCAACACCGACCCCTTGAAGCGAGGTGGGAGCGCTCAAAAGAAACCCTCGTTTTCCCGGTTCTTGGTGCTTTTCTTTGGCACGTGAGCAACAGAGCATCTCTTTGCAGCCTAGAGAGTAGTAGAGAGCGGGATGACTGATAAATACTGTTTTTACCATGTGTTTTTCTCACTTTACAAACCAGGACCCCCCTCTGCTCCTCGGAGTGCCATCTCAAATGTTAACGAGACTAGTGTCTTTCTGGAATGGATTCCCCCTGCTGATACTGGTGGAAGGAAAGATGTGTCTTATTATATTGCATGCAAGAAGTGCAACTCCCACTCAGGTCTGTGCCAGGCGTGTGGCGGTCATGTCAGGTACCTCCCCCAGCAAACCGGCCTGAAAAACACCTCTGTCATGATGGTGGATCTGCTTGCTCATACAAACTATACCTTTGAGATTGAGGCAGTGAATGGAGTGTCCGACCAGAACCCCGGAGCTCGGCAGTTTGTGTCTGTAAATGTAACCACAAACCAGGCAGGTAAGTGGATCTTCGACCTGGGGAAATGTCTGGGGTGGGAGCCTGAACCAGTTAGACCCAGTGCAGACCTCCCTTGGAAATGGGTGGAAGTCCCCAGTATGGAGGGCTGGACTGGGACCCCTTCAAATTGATGTTTGGGAGGGGTGGTTGTGTCTCCCAGGTTGTAATCGCTGCAGTCTTCAACATGTTTCCTTCCAGCAGGACACACTTTTAGGATTTATGGCTTTTTTCCTTTTACTTCTTTGCATTTCGGTGTATTCACCCCCTAAACCAAAATGAAAAGAGTTGCTTCTCCTGTTGGGAAAGGGAAATTTCTAAGAGTTCGTTTCATCCTAACTTGGCAGAACAGTTGCCCTAAGAAAATTGGTTTGAGTGACTTTAGGAAATTCAATCCCTCTTCTGCACTGTGATGCTGAGGTGGCTGGACACAGGCAGGTGAGGTACATCACACAGCTTCTGTAAGCCATGGGGACCTTTCTGCCCTTCTCTTGCCTCTCATGTATTTCAGGATCTGTATTTAGCCTGTATTTTAGGTTCTCTCCCTTTTCCTACCTGGCTCGCTCCTGCCATTTAATTCAGGGCTCCCCAGTGGCACTTGTCCACTGCAAAGCCCTTCAAGTGATGCGAACTGATGGCATTTGGATCTGTGAGGACTCTGCTGCAAGGTCACTCCTTGCCTTCTCCTTACAGACAAGGCTTAGCTTAAAGAGCTGGGTATTGGCAGATCCTGACTGTGGAGCAGGAAAATGCTCACTGGAGCACTGCTCTGTTTCATTCCTGCCACCATCCAGGTGTACGAGCACGAGCTCGGCAGCGAGACAGTGCCATTGCATCGCACTTCATCACGTCCCTGTCCCAATAATTAGACTGAATCATTGAAGTGTTGGACAAATCGCTGGGATGTAACTCAAGGAGAGGAAATAAGGGCACGCTGGGGTGGCTGCTGATGGATGTGGCAGGAAATCTTCTGGAGGAGCACCGGTAGCTGGCAGGATGAGACGTGCTGAAGGCACCTGTGCAATGCAGATCAGTGGGTGTCACGGTCCTCATGCTGGGTACTGCTTTCCCGTCGTGAAGGCTGCTGCCAGTAACTGTGTTGTTGGAACAAGTATTATTTCCTGTTTTGTGGGTTTGCATTGGTATTTCACTGCTGGCATTGGGTTTTCTGTGATATGTGGAGTTAAATCCATGTAAAACTCAGGAAATGAGAGAAGATGATGTGTTGCTGATGGGTGCAGACTGGGAGGAGATGGTGCTGGCTGGTGAGTTATGTCCCAAACTCCCCATAGCTGCAGTAGGATTTATCCACATAGCTGACTGACTGTGCACCACCCCCCTTGCACAATTATCACCTCTAGCCCTGTCTTGAAAGGCTCGTTATAGAAAATGATAGACCTGTAGGTTTCATGCGACGGATGTGGCTCGTGCTAAGGACAAGTGGGTCGATTTAGCTTCTGATTCAGTCTCACAGCTACCATGGTGGAGCTGCAATCAAGGAAGATGTTAATGGAACATTTAATTCACTGTGTGGTGTTGAAGTTACATCTGTGTGCTTAAATTCAACAGGAAGTGAATCCAACCTATGTCCAAAGCAGAGAGTGGTGACCATATTTTGTTGTCTCTCAGGCTGGTCCCACCGGTCGTTCAGGAGGAGAACCAGGCTGGTCTGCTTGAGCTGTAGCATCAAGTGTGCTCCCCAGTAACGTGCTTTTTCGGTACTTCAGGGCTGATCGTAATTTTATCCATTCCAGAAATAAAGTGGTCTCAGGGGGGGATTTACAAATCAGACTGTCTGCCAGGCATGGACACTGGGTATCTGCTTTCCTTAGGTGCCTCTGGAAAATGGACTTTAGAGCTCATCATGGAGGTGTGCAGGTGGTGTGGTCCGTGCCCAAAGATGCTGGACATCTCTGAAAAAGCCTCACCTTCAGGTCTCCTCTCTTAAATAAGAGCAGGCAGGGCACAGCGGGGTTTAGGGGGTCTCAGCCTGCTCATCTCTCCCTGAAATTAGCACCAAGAGATGCAGCTCTGTGTCCTCATCCTTTCCCTCACACAGGTTTCTACCTGTGTGATTATATTTTCATGAAGGCTGGTGTAGCAAGGGGGAGTCGCTAAAGGCAGCGACACGAGGCCAACTGTGGCAGTAGGAGAAATCCCTCTACAAGAGCTGCTGGCTGTGGAAAATGAAAGACTCCCATGCTGTGGGGTCGGTCTGGCAGCTGGAGCCCCACTGGCAGATATTCACTAACCCGGCACCGCCGAGAAATGCCAGGGTCTGTGTTTGTTGCTTTGGCTTTTGTCCGTCCCCAAAAGACAGTGCTGATTTCAGGACTGTGGAGAATGTGTGGGCAGCGGGGTGCTGGCCCCACTACCTTTTCTGTGTATGGGAGCTTTTGGCAGCAGAAGCGGCCTCTGGTGTGGGCTCTTGAACAGGCTGTTTTTTGGAAAATAAGATACATTTTTCTCCAAAATAATTTGTCTCTCTTCCTCTCTCCCTAATTTAAAATAACGAGCAAAAGAATTGGCACCGGCGATCAGTCTGGCGTGTTCAGACTGATGTAATTTTCCTCTGAACATTTGAAATCAGGTTTGGAAATATAGCGAGGAAGCAGTAATTTTGTGAGCAGGAGAGGAGCCAGATCAGCTCATCTCAGCTGCTGCCCCCCGTACGCTTCTGCTCCACAGGTCCCTGGGGACCTGACGGTGTTTTGGATGGGACCGGTCCATGTGGGATGCGGTCACCTTGGACACCAGATATAGGACTAATTCCCCCATCACATCATGTGAGCCTCTTGCAATCCCCAAAAAGCTGGGGTTTTGCAGATGTTCTTGCTGGAAAACATGTGGCTGTAGATGGTGAGCAATGCCACCGTCCAGGGGAGGTGGAAAATGTCCTGGCCTCCACCGTGACTACCCTAGAAAGAGCTGCTGCAGACAAACAGAGGACCTTATTTCCTTCATAGACACATGGATGGGTCAAAGCGTGCTGCTCCCCCATGGGACAGGTGTAAAATATGAGCCCAAGGGACTTCCCAGCACAGATGGCAGGGAGCCATCTGTAATGCACTCTCCCAGTGCATTAAAAACGTGTGCCTCGTGCACGGGGGCTGCAGGCCAGTGAATAACTCATAACTGGCAATGATGAGATTAAGTTTGCCATCCTTTTCTTGCTCACGGTTTTCCTCAAGTTTTTGTGTTTTTGGAAGTGCCACCTCATTCCCCTTTTCAGATGTTTTCCAGAGAGCAGCCTGCGTGCGCTGCTGATGTTGAAGTTTGCTTTTCAAGTGACAACCGCGTGCCCGTTTTTATTTTTCTCTCAGTGATTTCGCCAAGCTGGATGATTAAGTAACGCTGTCACTCCAGACAGGGATGTGCATCTCCCTCGAGGTCTTTCATCTTATCTGCCCTGTATACAGAAAGCACCTACCATGACGTCTTGGTCAGAGACGTGTGTCTCGTAATGGGCCCGTGGGGAGCAAGTGGCTGTGATTCATGGTTGCCTGCCCGTCCATTGTATCATTGTAGGAGCACACTAGGAAGATGGGCTGTTTAAAACCTTTCTAGGCTTAAAACCTGCCAGGAATATTCACTTTAAACCAGCCTAAACAGCCGAGTGATTTTCTTTGCTTTTTGTTTCCAGTGTCTCCCATGCTGGGCATGGAGCTGGCCTGGAGGTGGGGCAGTTCTCCTACTGACATCCCAAATGCCACGGACTCCCCTGAAAAGACCTTCTCTGTGTGTGTTTTCAGATAAATCCCCTGCTCAGTTCAGTTTGAAAAGTCGGAAGCCAACATTCAGTCTCCTTCCGTGACCTGTAGGTATTTTCTAGCCTTTTACTGCGGGAGAAGAGGAAGAAAGACCTGGATGTGCTTTTTGACAGAGGAGGAATTAATGTGTCCAGTGCCTCAAGGAGCCTGAACACCCAAGGCCAAACCAGAGATACAAGTTGCATCCCTTGGTGCAGCAAATTTAAGCAAAGGTGTTGGAGAACAGGACCTGGTAACCCTTACAGCAGAGCCAGGTTCTTGCTTGACCGAAAAAAAAACCCAGCAGATGCTTGGACCAGTTGGAAAACTCTTGGAGCAGGGAGGTGTGCTGGGAGCTGTGATCCTCGCCCTCATTGTGCAGGTTGTGATGTTGCGGTGAGGGGGAGCAAGGGAGAAGGGGTTTTCCATAGCACTCGGGATGTCCCAGGCTTTGAAGAGCAGCCGAGGGTGATTTGGAAAGGGAAACGTGCAATAGCAGAGCGTGTTGCAGTCTTAGACTGCAGCCACGCACAGCTTGGGAAGGAAACAGCAGCAAATGAGGTGAGAAGATGGCAGTGGTGGGAAGCGTGCTTCCTGGGACCGCTCCAGTTCAAGTGCTGTCGAGTTTGGAGTCTGATTCTGGCGACTTCCAGGTCTCACAGGCTTGTTTGGCTTGGCTTGGGGAGGGGGACCCTTGCTTATTTTCCTTAGGAATAACAAAACATTTCCAAGAGGATGCTCGAGGAGATGCAGCGTGTTGCGTGCATCTCACGTGAGGAGCAACTTTTCAACCAGAACTGCTGACCTTGAGCCTGCAAAACCTTAAGCAAATGCTTATTTATGGAAAACTCCAGGGTGGTGAGCAGGAATTGGCTGTGAATATCCATTATAAGAGTGCTTGATCAACTGAGCTGCAACATCTTCCCAGCGATGGTTGGTGGTGGATACCATTGACAAGGTGTGAGCAGGAGGCAGACACGTACCGGTGTTTCTGTAGAGCTCTCTCCAACCTCCGGAGACAACCTCTTTGTGCTTTATAGCCCTTAATGGATTTTTCTCCCATGAATTGGTCTAATAATTTTATGAACTCCTGGAAAATTTTAGCAGCTGCAGGCAATCCTATCTGAATTCAGTCTTGAGAGCTTAAGCTGTGCTTTAGACTCACGTTGGTCGGAGGGGAGCTATTAGTGGCATAAATAGAGAGTTTGAGGCTCGCGATTGCCCATCTATTTGGAAAGTGCCGTTTTTTAGAGA